GCCGAACAACTCTTACCAACTAGTGCTCCATTACTAGCCAATCCCAAAAGATCACACAACTTCTAAGAACCAGACGAACACTTCCCAAATCCCAACAAAACCGATAACTCCAGATGCTTGAATGATACCACACTCGAATCTTGAAGACCAAAATATAAATGCTCTAACCAATACCTCAGCAACGAGCCACTTCCCTTGGCGATTCCATCAGCCAATCAATAACAATTACTAAAATCACTGAATCATGACAATGCTGAGTAACCATCCTGCGGAACTCTGACCACAGACCTTCCATATAATACCCCTGAACCGGTCTCGATCATAAACCAAGGTAATACTGAGCGCTCCCAAATCCGCAATTTAAGGAAATGACCTTTCACTTCTCACTAATAATTCTCGGCATGCAAAAGACATATGAAATCACTTGAAGGTATAACCCTAACACAACAGGGAAACATCCCAAGTATACACTTACCCAAGCCCTTGGAACGAAAACTCCATCGTGCAGTTTCCCGCAAGTGTTGCACTGAATCCGACCTTGCTGGCCTCTCAAAAGCTTATCCGAATTCTTGGATCCCTTCCCGAGACCCTCCAATATATGCAACTGATCTGGTTCCCTCTTCCCAATGTGCTCCAAGTCAATATCTCGTTCTCGGGCTCTAGAAGTCGTATCATTCCTGGTCTCGCACCCCGAGATACTCATCTCCTTGACATCATTCCGCAGTATGTCATGATACCTTACCTTCTTCATTTCCTCATTTGTTGCATACTGCGGTACCAAATAAGCTCTCTCTCCCGAGACTTGGCAGTGATCTCTGCCACAGTCTCAATAGTCTGGCGGAGACCTAACAACTCTTGCGCCAACTGCTGCGCCTCAATCGCCTGGGCAAGCTCTGCCCGGAATCTGGTCAAAAAGTCATCCCATGACATAACATTAACCGCATCATCACCCAACGCACTACCAACCCCTTCCCATCAATCACGTGCCTTGTCCTTCAGGAGGCAGGAAGTAAGTCGGACCTTGTCCCTATCGGGCAACGGCTGGTACGAAAAGCGTTGGCGACATCTGCAAACCATCTGCTGCTAGCAATGGGGTCCTTAGCCCTATGATAATATGGAGCGTCACAAGCTATGAACTCCCGAAACATCAACGTACGCGTCCCTATCATGGCTGATATCTCAGTGTAGAATGCACTCAGTCTTATCACAAATCTCCAAAATGCCCTCCTTGACCGTACTGAAGATCACAGGAGTCTGGTCAATGATATTGCCCGTAATCTCGGATGGAATGAACTCCCTCATCTGATCATCGAGCTGCCCGGATCCAGAGTCTGAGCCTGATCCCTTGCCGGCACCAGATCTGCCATCTGATCTACCACGTAGTGTTACCATACTCAAGTATACTATAACAATATCATAATACTCTTCATAAATCGAGGGATCACATACACTACAAGTTCCCTGGTTTTATCTCAACCTTCCTTGAGTCGAGTACAGATCCTCTTCTTTTAGTAGTATGGCCCATACTACCTTCCACATCTATCCGTATTTTCCTCAAGAACTGCCTCGACTCTACCAAGTCCCTTTGGCTACTACTGCTCTCTGCGCTAATCTCATCCTAGGCTTGCCCTAAGGTAATCTCCGACCCACTCTCTGCCATCAGCTGCATAAGAAGTCCATGCTATCCCCCCTAACTAGCTCGCGAATACTATTACATATCACTAAGACTAGATAATTATTCGAATGAGGGGTCCTACCCTACAACGGTTAGACTCAAACGAGAGCTGCGAAATAAGGCTAAACCTAACCTTCTGAATTTATTTAGTCCTCGCAATATGTAACTTAACATATTCATTTACTAATTAGTTGGAGATAACTAGAACTCCTAAAATCACAAAGCAAGCAGCATTCGGGCATTGAGTAAACATAAGCAAGTATATCCTAATCAGGCCATCATATCACTGACTAATCAGTACTAGCATGCAGTTCATAAAGCTCATACACATATAACAGGAACATAAGGCATCCTTCCTAGATCCTTAGCCCTAATCTAGCATGTAGTTCTCATAAACATATCATAACATAAACTTGTATGGGTAATTTGGGAGTACTTACTTGAGCTCGGCTGATTGCATGCACCACACCCTTTTCTCTTTTCAAAATTCTTTTTATAAAAATGGTTTTCTTTTGAAAATTTTCATACTAAGTCTTCAGTTTGAGTTCAGACACACCCGAGAGTGTGTCCGAATCCCTCAAACCAAGGCTCTGATACCAACTTGAAACATCCCAAAAATACGGTCCAAAAAATTCATTTTTAATTATTAAAATAACCATAATTATCAAACCCATTTCTTCCAAAAAATAAGTCAAAGTATCAATCAAAGTATCTCATGAAAAATCATATCAATACATCAGAGTAAAAACATTCAGGCTAAACATCATGGTGTGTGCAATGCAGTCATCCCGAGCTCTTCCCTTTGCTACCGGAAGTACCTGAAACAAAAACTGAAAACTATAAGCACGAAGATTAGTGATTCTCCCCAAACTACCACATACCATACACATATCATGCAACTAGGAGATACGAGCCCCGACCACACTCAATGAGATACGGGCCCCACCCACACTCAGCTACTATGAGATACGGGCCCCACCCACACTTAGCTACTATAAGATACGGGCCCCGCCCACACTCAGCTACTAAACATACTTACAAGTATCACACAGACAACAAGCATAGCCAAATCTATTAATCAGTCCTATATACATACTCAAATAATGCTATGAGATACGGGCCCCGCCAGCTAATGATGAGATACGGGCCTCGCCAACACTCTATGAGATACGGGCCCCGCCCACACTCACATTCCTAACAACACATACATGTATCACACAGACAACAAGTATAACAATCCAACAATCTGACTGATATTTATAATCAGGTAATAATAAGATACGGGCCCCGCCCACACTCCGTGTTCCTATCAAGAACATATAAACTACACGGGCCGGCATTGGTGCCTTAGACCCGTTCAATCGAGGAGGAAACTCACCTCGCACTGCAGACGATCCCTGGCTGCTGGCTGACAGATTCCTGAACTGTCAACATCAAAATAAAACCCAATTAACCATTTGGGTTTCAATGGATCACCATAAATACACACTTGGGGCAAACGGACCATTTTACCCCTAACATAGCTTGGTCCAAGATCAAGGCCCAACTCGTACTCTGAAGGCTCAAAAGTCAATTAATCAACCAAGGCCCAATTATGGCCCAATTTTCCAAATTGGGCCCAAACCCTCACATGGGCCTTACCCTAAAGCCCAATCCAAATATTCTAGTCCATATACTTGTTCTTAGATGTCCCATCAATAACCCAATCACCAAAGCCCAAAAGAAAGGCCCAACTCAAGGCCCAACCAAAATTAGGGTTTTAACATAAAATGACGATTAGGGTTAAGTGTTCTTACTTAACCCATTAAGGTTTTAATCCATTAAGTCCATCACTCTACTAGGCCATTCATACAATGTAGTCGGACATAATTCAAATTTCCAATCTAACAGTCCACACGCGGGTCCCGACAAATCCCAAACTAACATTTCCAAAATTAGGGTTTTCTAAACCCTAATTAGGGTTTCCAACCCAATCACAAACCAACTCAGTCCAAGATTAAGCTATTGGGCCGATTAGGGTTTCACTATGTCGAGCACCACCAACTGCCACCTCGGGCGGTGATGATCGACGGCGGCAGCCACCACCTCACGGTGGTGGTGGTTATGATTCTAGGCCAAAATAAAGACAAAAGTACCCCAAGAACCAATCCACACACACCCATAAACATGCAGCCACCGGAGATGGTGGCTAGTGGCGGCAAAACGGTGGCAGCCACCACCTCACGGTGGTGGTGGTGGGTTTTCCGGCTAAACCATTACACATACAACCTCATGAATACCTAAAATAGCAGGTACACTCGAATATACACCCATACACATACATCCACCTCTCACGGTAGCTGGTGGTGGCAAGATACGACAGAAGGCGGCAGAAAGAAGTAGGAGTGGCGGCAGCCACCATGGTTGGCTGCCATGGTGGTCCGCTAGTGTTCCGGCCAACAACACCCGATATGATACACTGAAATATACACACACATGGGCGGTGACACTTACCGAGCTCATGTATTCCATTCCTGGAGGAGGGCGGTGGCGGAGAGATAGTGAACGGACTGTAACATCACCGCAACAACGGCGACGTCAACGGACGTTCCAGCGACTGCAAGGTTATCAGTCAGCGATGCCGGTGGCGTGACTGAAGGTGAATCGGAGGAAGGAAACATTGTGCGACCGAGAATCAACAGCAGCAACATCCGCGACGTGTTCTTCGGCGGTTTGTCTTCGTCGGCAGCAGTGCAGTGGCGGCTTCCGGGCTTCACGGCGGTGGGGCGGCGGCTGGATAACTTTACCACGGTGGGGGCTGGCAAAGAGAACTAGGGTTAGGGTTTGGTGGTTGCCTTAAAACGTATCCATGAGGAGGGTGACGGGTTATGTACCATATTTATACAACTTACACCAAATGTTCATATTTAGTCCCTCCTTCTCAAATCCTCTTCAACTTAAATCCATAAGTTACCAAACCACCCCCATCTTTAATAACTCATTACAATACAAGCCCCAGAAGTTACCATTTAATCCCTCAATAATAAAAATGTGGCTTTTAACACCCCAATGTGTACACACCGTTAATTAGTATGACTTAGGGCTAAAATACAATACTTAAAAAAATACATCTCGGGTTCTAGGGTTCATTATTTATTTATTTTTAAAAACGGACTGTTACACGAAAGTTGAAGAAGCACACCTGACGTAAAGAGAAATAAGAGAGTTTACAACCGATGTGACAGACCCGATTCCCGACTTCACAATTTCAGAGTGTAGCTGCTGACAATGTAATTCGCGCTCAGCTATAAGAGACAACCTAGATAACATGCTTGTGTAGGTGTAGTTATCTGACTGAAAATTGTTTCTTTTTCATGTCACGAAAGAGCTCGATAGCAGCGTTACCATCGTCATTATGAGCACAGCCTGTTATCATGGCATTGTAGCAAACTGTATCTCGAGTATTCAAAGGAGTGCTATTAAATATTTCTCTTGCCAACTTTAGATTTCCAGAAGCGGAATATGCACTAATAAAGGTTGTTTTGGCAATAATATATGGTTCTGCAATTTCATCGAACAGTTGACGTGCGTATACAAGATTGGACGATTTGCAATACAAATCCATCAAACGGTTGAGGATATGAGACCGCGATCTGACCAGAAGCGATCATATTGGCATGAATCATTCGGACACTGGAATATGAGGTTGGGATTTGGTTGGAACATGATAGGAGCTATGCAACGTAAAAGTTGGCTAGAGCACGAACGACGTCTGTTACGCGAACGGCCTGTTTTATGCCAAATCACGAAGTTATACACACAAAAATGGATAAATAGGAAAAGAAAAAAAGTAAATAGAAACAAGAAAGGCATGAGGGAATTTAACAGATAGAAAAAGATGGTAGTTTACGAACGAGAAAATCTTGTTTAGTACCTGTTCTCCGAGATTCGACGCATGCTTTCTTAATGCATTCATTTCGCCAGTTGCCGATCTACAGTAATATTTTCATTTTCAAATCAGACGCTGGCGCCCGACGGATATTTTCCGCTCAAACCATGTTGCTAGATTGGGGGCATCCTAATTCCCAGCTCTAATCATTTGAAGGTCCTAAACTAACTAGCTGAACCAAAGTCCACAGCTAAACTTTTTTCACGTAATAAGAGAATAGAGGTGCACATTGTGAACCCTTAACTTTGAAAAACAATAAGGGAAATCTCCAGAAAAGTCCTTAAATTTTAGTCCAATTTATGATAAAGTCCCAAACTAAATTTTGTTTACAGAAAAGCACAGAATACCGGCTAAAACTTCGAAAAAAACCCTTTTCGGCCGGTTTCACAGATTTATCCGGTATTCTGTCCTTTTTTGTTAGTTTGCTCAAAATTTTGGGACTTTTCCGAAAATTACCTGATAACCAAAATATTGGGACTTTTCTGAAAATTACCATGAAATTAATGGATATTATTATTAACAAATCATTTATAAACATAACAAATATTTTTATTATAACAAAGGAAATACACATGTTGCTAATTTCTAGGAATAAATTGGTGGTCTAAGTACTCCTCTATTTCTTATTGACCACATCAAACTGTCTACGTTCCTCCGACGCATCGTTGTGGGTATGATGGTGAGATGTACTCAGTGAGTGTTCCTCTAATGTTGGTGTTCCTCCTATGTTGTTTAACCTAACTACCACCCAAACTAAATTAGAAAATATCATTACATAATACCAGCTAAATACCACCTAACCTCCATACATATAGATAATATTCTTGAACATATAGATTGTTCATTATGTAATGATATTTCCTCATTATGTGATTACTTTTCTAGAGATAATGATTACATAATGATTCTTGAACATATAGATCTTTCATTATGTTCTTTAATCTAAATACCACCTAACCTCCATACACAACTCGGTAACAACCATCAAATTACACACATAGTGAAAAGTAAACTTTGAATGACAATTTAAATAGATAATCACCCTTTACTTGTTTCCATATAAACTATCATTCACATTTTCACATTTGATAGATGTGTGTTAGCCTATGGTTGTTACCATGTGTGGTATGGATGTTGGGTGGTAGTTAAGTTAAAGAACATAAGAGGAACACCAACATTAGAGGAACACTCATTGAGTACATCTCACCATCATACCCACAACGATGCATCAGAGGAACGTAGACAGTTTGATGTGGTCAATAAGCAATATAAGAGTACTTAGACCACCAATTTATTCCTAGAAATTAGCAACAAGTGTATTTCCTTTTTTATAATAAAAACATTTGTTATGTTTATAAATGATTTGTTAATAATAATACACATTAATTCCATGGTAATTTTCAGAAAAGTCCCAATATTTTGGTTATCAGGTAATTTCCGGAAAAGTCCCAAAATTTTGAACAAACTAACGAAAAAGGACAGAATACCGGATAAATATGTGAAACCGGCCGAAAAGGGTTTTTCGAAGTTTTAACCGGTATTTTGTGCTTTTCTATAAACAAAATTTAGTTTGAGACTTTATCATAAATTTAACTAAAATTTAAAGACTTTTATGGAGATTTCCCAAACAATAATTAACACCTAACTCAACTCGTCGTCTCAGTTGAATCAGCGAGTCAACACCAACGAGTGTCATTCTACCTCCGCACAGACAAGGACGCATGCACATCCAATAGCTTGCAAAAAGAGAAATTGAATCACGCATCTGTTGATCTAATGCGAATTCTGTTTCCAAAAAACCCCTCTGAAATTTTCCCTAATTTGAATGGAAGCCCTAACCCTAAAACATATCCCCTCTGTGAATCTTCCAAATGTGGCCGTCTTTGGATCCTTTATCCATATCAACATTTTTCTCTCTTCTTCTTATCTGGAGCGAACTTTAATCTCTCCGTTGTTTTATTGGTCTCGAAGTGACTAAGCAATTTATTTTAGGTTTACAATCAGTTGGAGAGTTTAAAAACTACACTATATATACATTATTCTTTATAGAAAAGGGAAGAAAATAATTTTTTTAAAGGGAAGTAAGAGATGGAGAGCTCTGACGCAGAAACAGGCATGGTTGATTGCGGTGTTGGGACCATCGTTTGGGTTCGGAGGCGGAATGGGTCGTGGTGGCCGGGTAAGATCCTGGGCCCCGATGAGCTCTCTGCTTCTCCTCTCATGTCTCCCCGATCTGGAACTCCTGTCAAACTTCTTGGGAGGGAAGATGCCAGTGTGTAAGTCCTCTAATTCACTTCCTCGATTTCATTCTTATGCTTTCTGTATCTCGTGTATATTTGCTGGATTGCTGAAAGAACAAAGACAACTGGTGCGGTTTTCATTTGTTGAGGAAGTAAAAAAGAATGATTGGGTTAATGTCAATTTTTTTTTGTTTCTCACATTCGAACCTGTTGAACACACACCTGATATCACATAGCTACTTAGCTCAGCTCACATAAGGTGATTGCTTCGAACAGTTGTAAATGACTTGGATTTGTTGAAAAAAACTCAAATATGATCAAATCATCTAATAGTTCTTCTTGGAGCTTACATCTCTTTGTCCAGAATGATTATATTATGGAGAAGTTAGATGCTTATTCTACCAATAATACTATTACCTATCCTTTAGTTGATTAAATAAATGATTACAATCGTTAAAACACAATTTTGTTTGTGCTAAGCTTGCTATCGTCATTGATTGGTAAGTGAAACTTGAGTACTGACTTGGTTCTTTACTACTTGTTTTATGATTAATAAATCCTTACTCATTGTCTGCACTCATGTGTTGATCAACTGGACGTAAATAATTCTTACTTTATGTGAGCTAAATTCTAGGAGGTGGTGTATACTTGAGTGTCCAAGGATATTGTTATGTGGGATTTGGGATAAGTTGATAAAGGAAGATTCATGACAAAAGATGTTTTTTTTTTTTCTTCCAGTTACACCACATGGATCATAGTGAGTAGACTTCCAAATCAGTTTGTCAGCTTCTGCTTACTTTTATAGGAATTAGGAACTATGTTCCCTGTCTTTGTCCATTGCATATCAAGCCACCAAAAGTTGATCAACATTTGAAGTGTTTTGTCTGGTAGCAAAAGCCATTGTCAGTTTTTGTTAAAACAACTTAAACACAGATCCTAAGTTTCTAACAGCATAGATGAAGATCATTGGAATCATTGTGAATGTCATTCATATATGTGATAAATGTCACTCTAAGTTCCTAAATTCTTATAGCGGTTGATGCTTTCACCCATCATAGCCTAACTACCTCGGCTATTTGACCTCTCATCGTTCATTGCTTCTATTACGTTTCCGAAGACAGATTTAGCTTCCTTGGTTTTATATAACCACGGACGGTGGAGCTTGATAACATGTTACAATCTAGACCTGATACTCACTAATTAGGGCACAATAGATTTGGTTATAGCTGAATGATTACAAATCAGGAAATGAAATCCCAAACAATCAAAAGCTACCTTCTAACTAACTTCAGGTCTATCTATACTTTTGCAACAGATACAAGACTAAAATTACATAAAAGCCCCTAAACCTGTAAAACTTATTCTTTTATTAAAAGTACGCAATCAACTACTAATTCTTAGTTCTTCTTGTGTAAGTACGCCTCGATACATTTGTATAAAGCTATCAGTCACTAGAGGTTTTGACTTATTATTTATAATCATTCTGGTTATCTGCAGCCTTGGAAGGAAAAAACTGAGGAGTGAAATTTTCTTTTTGTTCAGTTGATGTTCTTGCACCTAATAAGCTTTATTTGACAATGAACAGGGATTGGTACAACCTAGAGAAGTCGAAGCGAGTTAAACCTTTCCGCTGTGGTGAGTTTGATGACTGCATCGAGCGGGCGGAAGCTTCACAGGGAATGCCTCCAAAGAAAAGAGAGAAATATGCACGTAGGGAAGATGCTATCCTTCATGCGCTTGAGCTTGAGAAGCAAGTGCTGGAAAAGAAATATGGGAAACTAGGTGTCCAATCTAATAATACCAAGTTAGTAGGAAAAGACACAACTATAACTCCAGAATTATCACGTGACAGTGGTAAACATGTGGATCTGTCTCTTGATGACAAAAGAAAGGGTCTTTCCTTTCAGTCAAGGAGTCACCTGAATGTAGATGATGTACCTGTACGTCCTATTCTTTTCAAGCATAAACTCTCTTCCTTGGCTGCTTCAAATGGTTCCCATAGGAATGCTTCAGATGTCCTTACACCAGAAAATACGGTTATTGTCGGTAGTAAAAAGTTGTTGGAGAAAAAAAGGAAAAGGTCACAAGAGGGGAATATGGAGGAATCAGTTGGTAAGAGGCGTGACAGACATCGTCCTCTTGTTCAGGTACTCCTGAGTAGTGCAAAACTGCCCCACCATGACCACACTCACCCCTTGCAGTCAAAGGCTGATGGAGGGGAGGAGCAGAGAAAAGTTGTACACCGTGCAGCGGGTGGCAATGATCCAGGTGACACTAGAGAAGCTATCCCTGACCAAGTGGAAAATTCAGCACCCAAGTTTGAGAAAAGGAACGAGTCCTTCCCTGTTGCATTGAGTGAAGAAAACACTACTGAATCTAATGAAGACACTGAAACTGATTCTTCTGGCACTGAATCTCTGATGTCGGACACATATGACGCAATGGCTGCATTTTCAGGTTCATATTTGATTGTTTTTCTTCTGGATAGTGTCATTGTTTTTCTATTTGCCAATGTTATGCTTAGTGGTTTGAAATTCTCAGTTGGCCCATGGACACATAATTAATTCCATTGTTGTTGTGAACGTTGGCTTTTGCTTCTCAAAGCTGTTGCATGCATTAATTTGTGTTCATTCACACTCTTGACTTTACATTGATCCAGCGTGCCAAAGATTGCATAGTAATTACACATATACTCTTCTTTGCAACTATACCCAGACATAGTAGGATTGAGTCTAGATCCTCCCTATGCTTCTCTACAGCTCTTTGAATAAATCCCAATGTCATAAAAAAGCAAAAAACACATCCTTATTAGGAACTGAAACACCATGTTCATGATGTTTAGGAATGTAGCAGGGGGATTTTTCTGTCCAAAAGGCATAAACACCCATTATGAATTCCGAAGACTGTTCAATTAAAAAATGTATAGACTGTCAAGTATTTACATCAATATTCAAAGATAGTTATTCTCAAATATGTGTTTAGTATAAGTACATGTTTGTATTTATATGTTGTGACATTTAAATTTGTGAGGCCCAATGGCTGCTTGCAAGTGTTATTCATGTTACTGTTCGAATTGTATCGAGTCCCTCCTGCTTGTTTTCTGGTTGCACTTGTTTGTAACTGTTCCTCTCTCTCTCTCTCTCATTGCTTTTTGTCTGATCTTATTATTATTATTATTATTATTTTGATTTGTTGTTTAGATGAAGCTGAAGATGTTGAATTCATACCAAAAGCATTTGGAAGGCAAGGGGTACATGAGGAGAGCATGAGTGATGATGAGTCAGGAGGAGTTCCTGATGATACCGTAGCAACAGTCTCCAAATGGCAGCTGAAGGGAAAAAGGAATAGTCGCAGTTTGAGGAAGAGAAAGGTAGCTACAAATTCCAGCCACTGGATGCCGGGTTTCAATGGAATTGACACAAGTTTAAGTTTGAGAAGCGAAGCTAGTGGAGGCTTGTTAGACATGTTGAGTTGGGATGATGATCCTGATCCTTACCCTTGTTGTTTGAAGGGATACTCATACTCATACTCATACTCATACTCAGGTGAGTACCAAATATACGATGACGATGATGATGATAATGATGATGACGACGATGATGTGAGGAGGCATGGGACCCGGATGTTGATTGATGTTGAAGTAGGAGTGCAATCAAGTTATCAGAGAGAACATGTGCCCATGATTTCCCTGATGAGCAAATTGAATGACAAGGCCATAGTGGGTCACCCTATTCCAGTAGAAGCCGTGGAAGATGGTTCATCTGATGATATGTTCCAAATGGAATCATTATTATTATTAGGTGGTGGTGACACAAGTGCGCCGCTTCAACCATGGAGGACCGCCAGGAGGACCGCCAAGTGTCGGGGGGTTGCACTTGCACGGCCGCCTCAATTTTTATCAACATTAGAGGAAGAAGAAGAAGAAGAGGCGGTGGCCTCCTTTCAGTTTCAGGAGTATTATGATGAAGATGGAAAAGCAAGTGTAAATCGCAGCAACAGCAAGGGAAGAAAGTGGGCTGCACCAAAAAAGCCACAAAGGAGGACCACCTCATCTTGCAGCAGTCAGAAAATAAGGACGTTATCATCAATAGGTGGGACCCAGCAGCAGCAGCAGCAGCAGCAGCAGCACAATATGGATTTGAAAGCAGAAGGTGAACAAGGGATAGGAATGATGATGATGATGATGATGAAACCAGAGTCATTGCCCACAGCAGTTGCTTGTATCCCTGTTAAATTAGTGTTCAGTAGGTTACATGAGGAGCTGGTTGCCCCCCGCCATCAATAAACATGATGTAAATTGTATGTAATTGATTATATGCTTCCATTGCCAAAGCGGTGGTTTTGTTTTTCTGGTTTCATGCAAGAGGAACATAACATTCAGTTAGTGGTGTTTGGTTTGCTTTGGCAAAAAAAATGTTTTGGGGAAGAGAATACTGTAAAGATAGAAAGGGAGGTTGAAAATTCTAAACCCGTATGGAGAAAGTGTATATGCTATGCAGTATGCAGTGTGTTTGATATTTGATTTGATTGAGTTACAGGATGATTTCTTGGTTTATTTTATGGGTATTGCACATGATGAACTTGATAAAACACCAAATGAGATCTCTGTTGAGAAGCTTCAGGTCTTTATCCATTTACCTCATATTATCTTTACAAAAAACAGAGTATATTTTGGGCAATTATTGTCATTACACCACTGATACTTTATTCTTTCCAATCAAACCATAAAAGTTAAGACTTTTCTTCCAAATTAACCATTTTGACCTATTATATCGGGTCAAATTGTTAAATTTTGAAATATGTCTGAAACTTTAATGGTTTGATTGGAAAAAAATAAAGTAGAAGTGGTTAAACCACAAAATTGCCCAAAATATAATGCTGTTTCTGTAATTTGCCCTTATTTGTATCATCCACTTATGATCATATATCCCATATGTATAGTTAGGGATAAAAGTTATTCATGTATAAGAATTATCGTTTCTCACTCTCTTTTTAACCATTAAGTTCTATCTGAGAAAATAAATGACATTTGTAAACAGATGACTTATTGAAAAATACTCAATTTCCGGACTTTCTTTCTGCATAAAGAGTTTGATGCTATAAATATAATACACAAATAAATGAAGGTAAACTGCCTTTTTTTTTTTTTTTTTTTTGCAAATTTACGTTTTTATTTAACAGACTTCAATTTTCAGTCTCTGTTGGACCTTGCACTGCGTTCCACAGCAGCTGCAGCAGATCCTTTGCATGAAGATGTCACATGTTCTGTGGTCAGTTTCATTTATTCCTATTACAACATTCTACTTTGAGAAATGATTAATACTTTATTTATTATTATGGGTTTTCAGGACACAGGTTCTTTGTTAAAGAGATTGAGCATTCTGAAAGATCTTCAAACAGGTGGTGAGACAGTTGCAGAGCCTGATGTTGTAGAAGAGCCCTTGATCACCGGTATGGAAACCTTCTCTGTTAATTACAAGGTAAATATCAATACACCTTTTATTTCTTTCATCAAATCAATAAATAGCAATGTACTTTCAGTTATCTGATTATCTAATTATCAATTAAATGAAAGTAAGTTGGTATTTTTGTTACAGGTTCAATGGGCATTATCCCTTGTGATATCAAGAAAAGCTCTGACAAAATACCAATTAATTTTTCGATTTCTGTTTCACTGCAAACATGTGCATATGCAACTTTGTGCAGCTTGGCAACTACATCAAGTATGAGACTAAATATCCCTGATATAAATATTTATTAAAAATTAAAAATATTTCCTTTTTTACTCTTTATATTTTTTGTAGTTATACTTTTTGTTTTTTTTAGGGTGCACGTGCACGTGATATGCATGGAACTGCAATCTCTTCATCATCAATACTATGCATGAATATGCTTAAATTTATAAATAGCCTTTTACACTATCTAACATTTGAGGTAAAAATAACCATGTTCTTAAGTTTATAAATAACAATGTATTTACATTTCCTTACCAACAATAACAATATATAACCTGTAATTTGTATGTAAGATGCTTACAAATTTTATGTTATTGCTATTAATTATTATCAGTAAAAAGGTAAGTGTCTTATGTAAAAACTAAAGTATATTGTGTAAGTTTCATGCTATAAGTATGTTGTTATTATGGGTGAATAAATATAAATATATTGCTCTTTCCTATTTATTCATTACTCCGATGTTAATGTGGTTATTTATCTCTCTTTAATTCTTTTGTCAACCAACAAAGGTAGAAGTGATATTATATTATTATGATTGAATAACATATTCTTTTATCTTCTTGTAGGTTCTTGAACCAAATTGGCATGCTATGCATAATAAACTTGAAAATGCAAAGAGCATAGATGAGGTATATGTTGATTTTGATTCCTCTCAACTCTTGGGTTAAAATGCAAGAAATAGCAATGTACTTCTGTTGATTTGTTTATTGTGCTTTGAAAAATCTACCCAGTTATAGTAATGTCATCCAAATACAAAGTAATTTTCACTTCTCTAGTTTGGTAAATTGTTAAAAATATAATGTTCTAATAAGATGAAAAAATTGTACTACAATGCTTGTAAAAGAAAATTAGAGTACATTGCTATATTTCACAAATAAGTTAAAGTACGTTGTTATCTTTTTCCTTGTGTGTGCTTCTAATTTTGGTACTTAAATAGGTAATTCAATATCATTACTTTTTCATGGAGAAGTGTCTCAAGGAATGTTCACTTCTTTCTCCAATCCTCCTCAAGGTTTGCATCATTCCTATTCATAATGCTCTGAAATTTGCACATCTAAATTTCAAAATACAATATAAAAAATAGAGGAATAGAATGGTATGCAAATTTAATATGATTTTCATTAAGCATTATTTCTGTATAAAGTGCTGTTTGGATAACTATTGTTTAAAAATCTTTGAGAAAATGATGACACTTAGGGAAATGGAAAGAAAAATTAATTGAAGTCAAATTCATAAAAAGTTAGGTTAAAAAGAAACATTGATATGTAAGTTACCACATTAAGGGGATGTTTCTTTTTGACTTAATGAGGTTAACAAGGTAAGTACTCTCTCATGTTATAATTGATGAATATTCTGATATTTTCGGAATGTAAGGGTAAAATGGTCATTTGTTCAGATAGACATCATTATCTGTTCAGTCACATTACCCATACACGACTCAATGGGGCCCGAAGTCATGTCTCCATTAATTGAAAAAGAAATAGTCATAAAATACAAGGTTTGTGTTTCTTCTAAATAATAATAATAAGTTTTTGGGTGAATGCAGAAATTTGAGAAACTGAAACTTGTATGCCTTCAATATGCTTCTGCAACTCAGTGGCTAATGAGATCCATTGAAGCTCCCGATTCAAACAATTCCTTTGATGATTCACATTCATCTTCCTTGGAAAATTTAAAAGTTTTAAAGCTAAGAAAGTCTTCCAAAAAACCAAATTCACCCACAGATGAGTCTACAGTCATCGAATGTGTCCTGTAAGATCTTAAAACTATACCTCTTTTTCTTTCTATGTATGTATGTATGTATGTATGTATGTATATGTCTGATGGAGTGGAGTGATTTTTGGCAGGAAATTTGAGACGGAGTTTAGTAGTGAGCTGGAGAATTTAAGCCCAATATTGAGCAGCAGGGCACAAGCAGAACCATATTTGACTCATCTTGCACAGTTGATTCTTGGTGTTGGTATGGATCACCGGATGTAGATTTTTGTATTTTTCTTCTCAAGTTTGCTTGTTGCTTGTTGATCCTAGTGGTTTTTTGTATATATCTGTTTTGGAATGAGTGTTTTTGGGAGATTTTGCTGCATGATTAACCACTTGTGTAGATTTCATAGTAGTAAAACATGGATCATCTGGATTTGATTTAGCCATACACACAAGTTGTTTGTGGTTATTAAAATGATATGGAGTTTTATGTGATGCTGTTTTTCGTCCTTCATATTTGATTGTTTTTCTTCTGGATAATGTCATTGTTTTTCTATTTGCCAATGTCATGGTTAGTGGTTTGAAATTCTCAGTTGGCCCATGGACACATAATTAATTCCATTGTTGTGAACGTTGGCTTTTGCTTCTCAAAGCTGTTGCATGCATTAATTTGTGTTTATTCACACTCTGGACTTTACATTGATCCGTGGACAATCCTGCGTGCCAAAGATTGCATAACAATGTAGAACTAGTTTAGCTATACATACACAAATATCAACAAAAAAGAACAAATCAACAAATATAGTTCAGCAAATAAACACAAACTCAGCAAATATCAACTATACATACACATCCATTTCATAAACCAACAAAATCAGCAACATCATCAACTTATGTTTCCTCAATTAACTCATCGAACAAAATTAACAGAAAATCAACAACAAATTACCAAAAACAATAAATAAATACAAATTATAAATGAAGAATTGTTATGTTTAGAAGGTTTGCTTGCTAAGTTAACCAAAACTAAACTTAAAGTGAGATTATAGTTTGGTGGAACGGCATTTGAGGTCGGATTCAGCAAAAAGAGCAGAAAAAAAAACGAGAGAAACAGATCGAGAGAATCACATACCTGCGATAGAGACGATTGAGGATGGCGATGGGGCGGGTGGTGATGGCTGGAGATGGCGACGAGGAAGAGTATCGTTGACTGTTCTCCAGCTGTTGGTGGCGACGACAATAGAGAGAGATAGAGAGAGAAACATATGCGAGAAAAGAGCGTTAGGGCTAGAGCGTCTTTTAGTTCTTTTCAGATGTGATTCCACATCAAATTCGGTAAGTGGATTTATTTAGATTCAGACCATCAATTAATGGGTAAACAAACACCTTGAATCTTACAGATTCAAAGCTACATCTTATTAAGAGGTACTATGTGGTAAACAAACAGGCCCTCAACCATTATGTAACCATAAATTCACCAAACAATGGATTCAAGATCCTTATCAACAATTGAAGGACCATAAGGATCTGTTATATGTTCAACTTGTACTTCTAGCAACATTTCATCAAAATCAAACCAAAATCAGCAACATATTTCAGTTATACATACACATATATCAACAAAAAGAAACAATTCAAAACAGGTTCAATTATACTGTATAAATTATACATACACATGTATCAACAAAAAAGAACAAATCAAAAATATAGTTCAGCAAATAAACACAAACTAACTAAATTTCACCTATACATATACATTTCATAAATAAACAAAATCAACATCATTAATTTATGTTTCATAAATCAACTCATCGAACAAAATGAATAGAAAATTAGCAAAAACAACAAATAAATACCGATTATAAATGAAGAATATTTATGTTTAGAAGGTTTTCTTGCTAAGTGAACCAAAACTAAACTTAAAGTGATGTTATAGTTTGGTGGAACGACATTTGAGGTCAGATTCAACAAAAAGAGTATAAAAAAAATGAGAGAAACAAATCGAGAGAATCATATACCTGCGATGGAGACGGTCAGAGATGGCGACGGGGAGGGTGGCGACAACTGGAGATGGCGATGGGGAGGAGTGTCGTTGGTAGTCCTCCGGCTGTTGGTGGCGACGACGATAGAAAGCGAGAGAAACATATGTGAGAAAAAAAGCATTAGGGCTAGAGCCTCTTTATTTTTTCTTTTCAGATGTGTCTCCAGATCTGATTCAGTAAGTGGATTTATTTAGATTCAAACCATCAGTTATGGGCTAAACAAACAATCTGAATCTTACAGATTCATAACTACCTCGTATTAAGAGGTATTAAGTGGTAAACAAACAGACCCTTAACCATTATGTAACCATAAATTCACCAAACAATAGATTCAAGATCATTATCAACAATCAAAGGACCATAAGGATCTTTATACGTTCAACTTGTACTTCCAACAACATTTCATCAAAATCAAACCAAAATCAACAACATATTTCAACTATACATACACATATATCAACAAAAAGGAACAATTCAGAGCTAGTTCAACTATACATACACATATATCAACAAAAAAAGAACAAATCAACAATATAGTTCAACAAATAAACACAAACTCATCAAATTTCACCTATACATACTCATACATTTCATAAATAAACAAAATCAACAACATTATCAATTTATGTTTCATAAATCAACTCATCGAACAAAATGAACAGAAAATCAGCAAAACCAACAAATAAATACCGATTATAAATGAAGAATATTTATATTTAGAAGGTTTGCTTTCTTACTGAACTAAAACTAAACTTAAAATAAGGTTATGGTGTGACATCCTCTATTTTTCAGAACCAATTAAAACTTTTCTTTACGCTTTAAAAATCATTTATTTATATTTGCGGAAAATCTCAGTACAAAAGATCATTTTGATTGCAAATGTTTGTTTCCAAAATGTTAAAACCCTAAGGATGTCATAATCAATACAGATACATAAGTTACAACGTAAAGACCTGATGATTCTGAATACTATTGCAGGTTGTCTCTTAATCACTCAACATTCTAATCAAGTTCCAGTGGCCTAAGTCTTCATACCTGTGATGCATATGAACTGAGTGGGCCAGGTTGGGAAAACCTGGTGAGATACATATGGATTTCAATCCCACGATATTGATATGATAATATTCCATAGTTATCATTGGACTTTTCATCTTACAGAAGGAGAAAGTAAGCAGCCAAATGTAGGAGATTTTCATTTCCTGAAACGCCCTTTATCATTCAGGTCATGTAAAAGGTTAAAAAAAATTAGGAACCAAGAGTTAAAAATGAAAAATGAAAGGTGTTTTATGGTAATTTCAGTTGATACATTGTTTTTCTTTATTTTTGTAGGGTACCTTCAGAAGGGGTGGAATTGGCTTCCAAGCGCATTTGTACTTCAGTTTGTTACTATTACACTAATTACATAGCCAAATGTCAAGATAGTGGGGGTAAATTTAGTAATCTAAGAACTTATGTCGACTTGCATTCAGTTACTTTCTTGCCATAGAAGAATTTTACTTTAATAGTTTTTGACAGTGTTCATGGTTGTCAATGTCCATGACAGGCGATGTCAGATTGAACAAACACATAGTAGATATAATCATTGGAAATGTTTTTTTTTTTTTTTTTGCTCTTTGAAGTCAATGTTTGTTGGCGATGCCATGGATTTTTACTTTTGAACAACCACCAAAGGAAACAATATGGATTTCAAAATTGACAACATGCAAGCACTACAAAACCTCCAAAAAATAAATTCATCAACTTTAACATGAGGGGAGTTGGGAGGAAAAAGAATGGCAAATAGGAAAAAATTTATTGTTGTATGTCTAAATACTTAACTCATTAAATCATTCTGTCCAAATTAAGTGCTTAACCCATAAACTCATTAAGTAAAAAAGAAACAGTCATTTAATTCTTAAAATGTTTGTCTAAAGTATTTATTGTTTCTTATTTTTTTTATTTGATGTATCTTTTTTCAAGACATCGAGAGAGCTATCACAAAGGACTTGGTGTTACATATTCTGGAATTCTCAATACATCTAATCAATGGGGTCAATTTTGCAGCCCGATGAATAAAGTAAGTTTTATTTATTGTTTCTTATTTTTTTATTTGTAGTTTTTTCATTATAAATAAAGTACAATTTTATTTAAAATGCAGATAGCATTGATAGTTTTCTTGCCCACATTGGAAGTGTTGTACCTGCAGATGCTCCACCGTGGGTTTAACCGATATGTTTGTTGCTTTTTACTAATTTACCCTTGTATTTACATAATCTTTTTAGATGAGATTGCTCTCCTTGATGGAAATGTTGATCATTTTATCTTAATGTGTTCCCCTCCAATATATATTTTCTTTTGTAAGTTGCTTTTTTTTTGTTAAAAAAACACACAAAAGTAAGAAAAAATAAGAAATGCTTACATTTATCGTACAAATATTGTAAATGTTTATTCAAAACGAAAGCTTTTGCTGATGTATCATCAAATCCCTCTAAGTTAACAGAGCCTAATTTCTCAAGAAGATGGCTAACTGTTTTAGTAAAAACACATAATTAATGAAACACTCAATTACACATAATAAATTAATAATCAAGAAATTAAAAAAATAAATAAATAAAATAATAATAAAAAACAAATATATGATCGAAAACTTACTTGAGCCCACGAATCAAAAGGGAGGCGTTTTTTTTTTAAAAAAAATCAGTTGATCCATATTCAATTGCAAAAAGATATGTATAAGGAACATAATCACATTTCGTTCGAACCCGTAGTGTAACGTCCGAGTTTTTCACTAGTTAAAGATAACGAACCCGTAGTGTAACGTCCGAGTTTTTCACTAGTTAAAGATAATTGCTAGTTTCCTAATTTATAAGTATTTTAATTGTATTACTATTATTAACTTGATTTACCAATTTACTATACTACCTTTATTTATTAAATTAATAATTTAATTTTTCTTGAATTATTTTTGTTCCTTACGACACAAAATACTTGTTAAATGTATATTAATATATATGCTTAAGTAAGTACCAATTTTCACTTTTCAGCACCCTTTTCTAATCTAGAAGAAAAAGACACTGTTCTTGTTCAAGACTTGTAATCATGAAGATAAATCCAAAAAAAAACTCAAATTCTTGAAATCTGTATTTAAAAAAAAATGATTAAAATGGCAAAAACAAAATACCTTATCCAAAAAAAGCTGCATTATGTCAACTTCTGATTTTTCTAAATTCCAATTTCGCAAGTATAATCATGGGCTGTCAACAAACATACTGCCAAACATATATGAGTGCTTGTCTACCCTTTCAGTCTATTTCAACCGGATACTATCAAGCATATATGGGTGTGCTTGCCTACCCCTTCGGTCTATTTCAACCGGATACTATCAAGCATATCTGGGTGCTTGCAATCCCCTTCGTGCTATTTCAACTGGATAACGAGTCTATTTCACCCCTAGTACTACCACATAATATCTTAACA